TGCGGTCTCTATTAGGTCATCCCATTCAAAGTGGCCGACACATATAGAGAATGGCAGAAAAGCAAAGGGGATAGAGCAGCGGGCTACTATACCATTTGGAAGCTAGTACCTTAAGCTGTGTATCTGTGAAATTTGGCGAACCTAGCCTCTGAAGAAGTTCTCGAGAAATTGAAGAGAAGCCCGAGTGGTGAAAATCGGCGCCGGTTTTTCAAATCAGACGTCATAAGAGGAAAGTGCGCTGCTCAAATTTGACCTGCGCCGGACCATAGTTGTGTGTAAGGGTGTTCTCGAAATACACGGTGGAAGATCTGGTTCAGGAGCCCGTACAAGGAAGAAGGAAAAAAATTTGTTGTCGTGGGTGGTCCCATAATATTCATCCTGCACAAGAAAAACGGGTGGATGAAGTCAGGCACTGAATATCTGATCACAGAGCCTGGACCCTTGTCGAGCTTCCCCGCGAGTCTGACATCCCAGCTGCAACTGCTGCCCGAGTTATGTCCGATAAACGGAGGATGGTCAAGAGGGTGGCGCATGGGTACCCAATTTTCTTATAGAAGCACGAACGCAGTACCGATTCTATACCTCCAGCAGTAATGTTCTCAGCATGAGATGTCACTCACAACTGTGAAAACGCACCCCGGCCCTAGATGAAATATGGGTGGTCTCGGACCTCGAGTCGAAACTCACAATCGTCAATTTTCTATGAATGCAGATGAGAAGCCGCCCGAGTTCTACCATGAAGAGTTACGTGGGCGCAAGTGGATGATCATCATAGCAAAGGATTCCCACACTGTGGCTTTCAAGCGGCTCTATACAGAGGACAAATCCGTCACTGTCGGTGCATATTGCCTGTTCCGGCATTCAGATCGACAAATGGATGGTACCACACAACTACAAGAAGGCCACCGTTGCTCGTCATAGTGCCAGACCCCGAGTAACTGTATTGTAGATCAGTGCTGGGACACAAACAATACTGAGACCTGAGTTCAAGTGCGTTCCATTTCGTCCGTCATAAGGCCATGGATTACAAAACTGTGTCTATACGAGTTGGAGAGTTGCTCTGCCGACCCGGCAGACGGCTACAGATGTTTGTCATTTGCAGAAATTGGCAATAACAGCAATTTACCCACACTTGTTGAAAAATCGAAGGTACCAGAGGTCCAAAGGCCCTCGGGGCACTGGGAGCGGGTCATTGGTGAAGGAGGGATTTACTCATCCTAAAGCTAAAATATCACTTTTCTATCTATTCTCCTCTTTGTTTTATTCAAAAAAACCATCGGCCACTTTGAATGGGATGACCTAATATAAGGGGGGGGGGCCAAAAAAAGTCACTTCGACCGAGTCACATATCAGCAAAGTTTCGCTGCCCAGACAGAGGATGTGGATACGAGTACCGGGGCGGAAGATACCCCAAGATGTTCCTCTATGAGCAAAAGCTGGCCCTCGCCCATCACCTTCATGTACACCAAAATATGAAGTCATCTCCAGTCGCAACCTGACTGGAGAAGACCTAAATTCATGTCACCTCCAAACAGCTGCGAAACTTCTAGTATGGTGTCACCCATGGATAGCTACCTGGAGACGAGTACTCTCTGGATGACCTCCAACATCGAGCAGCTCCGACAACGTCGCCACGGTCTAGGACATCATCTTCACCGCAGTCGCCAAGGCGCGGGTTGATGGTATGGACCGGACGTACCTGGAATGGAAAGACCAATATTTTCTTCGTGGACCCCGGACTGAAGGTGAGCGCTGGCGGTTACATCGAGCATACTCGTGAAGAATATCGTTCTCGTTGTCGTACCGTTCTTGGAAGCTTTGTACTGCTACAGCATTGGGTGCCACCACATGGAATCGAAGGGCATTGGAGAAACTTCTCGCCTACTTGGAATGGAAGGGGGCTGAGTACCTAGAAGAGAGGAGAATCGAAATATTTGAAGTATGTCCCCTGACCTGAATCCACTTCAATTACCTAGTTCGGGCGGACTTCAAGAGGGTGGTCTACGGTGGCGGAGAAATCGACTACCCCGCTGATCTCAGGTACCACATCGCGTCGCGCGCCAGAATTCTCTCGATGGCGCTCGTCCAGAAGGCTGTGGCGGAGTGTCATGATAGTATTTAATATGCTCTTTAATATGGTGGTAAAAATGTCCGATCAGAATTTAATAAAGTGTAACTTATAGCGCCTCGAAAGTCAATGAAGGAAAGTGACTTTTTTTGCCCCCCCCCCCCCTGTACTCTGCCTGCGCTGCCGCACGCCTAACCATGGCCAAACATGCTACTTTTATGCTCACTCTTACTTCTGGTTATTCTCTATTGCTTACTGCATGTTTCGCTGGTGAATCGTGTTATCGACTCTAATGGTGCACATGGAGGATAGGAAGTTTGGGAATGGCAACCGGGTGTGAATATCCACCGGCCCTGGCCCCCGTGCACTTTTAGGCGAAGAAATTGGCACGCTGCTGCAGATGTGGACCCTTTCACCTCCCACATGGCAAGAATTGTCCTTGCAAGTGAGCAAGTTGCTCTTAATCTGCCATCCCGTCTCTTAGAAAGCCCACCCATAAACTCTGTTGCCAGCCTTGAGTGCAGTAATAACAATAACAGTACACTTAGTGCCTGTAAAAGACTTCTTTCAGGACCAACTGCTTCTTGGAAAGCTCATGCTCACAGCTGCTAAGGTTAGCAACACGGTTCACTGATCGCTTAGGTTTCTTTAGTGAATGTCCTATAGTTGTCGACAGGATATTCAGTCTTGTTCACTTCGGTTGCTGGGGCGTGTCGCGGGCGAGTTGAGGCGCGGCGCTAGTCCGTTCTCCACCAGTTACTCAAGAGGATAATTGACAACAGTTGGTGGAGAATGAGCTGCCGTCGCGCCAATCTCGCCCACCACCCTCCCCCCATCCTGACACGCCCCAGCATTCGCAGCAAGTCAATCAAACAGGGTGATGTTCAGATTGCTCGCGATCTACGACTCAAGGATGGCTACCGTATCGTGGTGAACAATGGCCGTGATGCTTGTCAAAGTGTTTTCCATCTTCATCTTCATGTACTTGCTGGGCGACAACTAGCATGGCCTCCAGGATTTAAGTACGTACGACGATCCGAAACAGTAGGATATGGAAGTGGTTTATAAGGTCGCTTGTGTAGAATATCTTCCTGGAGTGAAGAACGCAGTATCACAAAAATAAATGGAGATTAAATATGTATTTTGATCTAACAGTGTATATATCGTTAGTCTCAAGTAGCGGCCTGGAACGCGGGAATGAAACAGTGATGTTAACTAGCTAGCAAATACTTGTGTAGTCTACGGGCAATGTAGCCACTGACAGCGGCCCATGCAAGCCATCACTTACTTAGTGAGCCATGTAACTGTAGTACTTCTCGTAGTGACGGAATCCTCTAGTGATCTCCGCTCTCTACTGTTATTTCTGTCGATGTTGCCCCACGGCACATTATTAGTTGGTTAATTAGCCGAGTCCGTCTGACCCCCCCTTTTTGGAAGGTTGATATGACCCACTTCTCTCATCGGTGTCGAGTTGGGGAGGCGGAAGACAGTACATATGAAGGAAAAGCCGCGAAAAAATACCGACGCACCCTCTGTGACCATTCTCTTAAGTTTTTCCCAACAACCCACTGGTTTTTCCGAATACTTCCGTTTTTCCGATTTCCCGAACTTTTCCCTACTTTTTCCTCGAAAAAATTTTGGTGTAAAGTGAGGGGGGGGTGAAGGTGAGATATATAGTACACTTGAAACAAGAAAAATCACGAAAAGTCAGCAACCTCCCTCAGGAAGTCGGTACCAAAGTGCGACCCCTCCCCCTTCACAACGTGCGTGAAATAAAGAAAATCAACAATCAAATCATCAAACAAATTTTTCTCAGCCCTAATACGACCCCCCGTGTTGGAGAATCCCCAACAGCGATGTGCTGACCTTATCTCTAACTTTTGCCGCTCTGTGTCTCTGTACTGGTTCTGGCACAGGAGTAGCAGTACCAGCACAGAGAATAGCCAAAGCCTTACGGCATCTCTACCCGCTCTCCCTAGGACCTGGAGTTGGGGGAGCGAGAAAAATGTCGCACGGCTACTGACGTCAGAAGGGTATCGGCAGATCATCACAACGAGCGCAGTATCACTGAAGAGACGCCTTCCCTTCGAGGGAAAGTATACATGCGTCTCCAATGTCCCGTACTTCCATCTAGACGGTTTGAGCGGACGCGACCCCGTTAAAAGTAATGTTGTCCGCCGGCGAGCTGAGCATTTGTTTCAAACTGGACTACACTAATTTTCGTATTCGAGCACATAATGTCGACGAGAGAATGGTCGTGTCGTTACGAACCACCTCCTCAAAAAGGGCCTCGAAAAGACTCTCCTGTCCTCAGACACGATTTGTTATAAATTCTGCGCTCTAGTGCAACTGACGATATGGTCACGGTCAATCATGTCCTGTCCTCTGGAACAAATTATCCTGCTGATTGGTCTGGAACTCTGCCAAAAGTGTACATTCTTGGACAAACCGAGACAATTTATACGACTTTGACCCTTCGGAGCGAAGGATAACAGTTTGTGAAGAAATTGAATTGAAGTTTCTCAAAAATACTGGTGCTTTGGGACCATCATCCACCATTATCAGATCCTCCCATCTGTAACCATACGGGACCTGAAGAAAAGTGTTGAAGGCACTCAGACTCTGCAAATTCTAGGGGAGAACACACCATATTCTCCACCCAGATCTGTTATCATTTGGCTTGTCATCTTCACCACGTGTGCGTGTTTTGGTGCAGGAAAAAACAAATAGGGTAACCTTCACTTTTTGGGCTGTGGATTGAATAAGATATGACTTATACAATGACTTGCTGGAGCCAGCAGACGTACAAGTCAGTGTTCTTATCCTCCAAGACGAGTCTTGGTACCAATTCACTGTCTTGGTTGGCTTGGGGAAGAACCGATACGAGATTTTACCGTTGCTGCTGAACCACTATTCAGGAGCTATCTCACCTATAGTTCTTGAAACCTTTTTTTCGAGGCGTATCTGCTGGCGTGTGCTGGCGGCCTCTCCTCTTTGAGACGATCCTACGCTTAGGGTTTGACAGTATCTTTGTGAAGATGTTTGGTTTTCGTTAGGTAAGGAATCTGCTCTCGGTTACTAGATTATTTTCTTGCCGGATAACTTCCCTCGTAGCTGCCCGAAGTTCAAGAGACTAGTCCGCAACTCTCTCCTCCTTATCTGGATGCACCTAATCCATCAGGGAACAGTCGCCCCACATTTGAAATCGCGGGGTTGATCGTTACTGTTGGCTCCTATAGTTGTTGCCAACTTACGGCTACTTACGTTTAGCGTTCGCTCCGCAGGATGGAATAATTCATGGCCGACCACCAATGTTGCAACAACAATATAATGTAAGCACAGTTTAATATCGCACCAGCGGTTCAGGAGACATGGAGAGGGTCCACCCACATCGTGTTACCACTTTTATTTCCCGAATCGAATTCATTGGTAGAAGATTCGAGACGTAGGCGGGGCTTATTCCGCGCCCCTTCTGACACCGCCTGGACATGAATCGGCAACTCAAACTATATTCTCCAGCTGTTATCAGACCAACGGATCAAGTATGCGTTCGACCATGATACAAGCATAGGAATGGACAACACCCTTCTCACCGTTCCTCAAAACTTTTTCTGGGAAACAGTCGTAGGAAGTTAGGAAAATCAGTAAGGGTATTTTAGGATTGGGGATAAGGTACCATTGGTGGAAACTTTGAAAGGTTCGTAGTCGTCTGAAATTCCCCTTTTGCTCATATCCTCACCCACAGTGAAGGCGAACCCACGTGTCTGATGCAGAGACTCTGTCAGGGCACGCCATCGTTGTGATAATCACAACAGGGGGTCGTATCTGACCTCGAGAGAGGGGGTCGTAGCGAAGACACTTTTCGGAGGGGGAGGGTCATTTTTTGCAAGAAATGTAGTCCGCAAGATTTATAAGTTCAGGGTTGTCAGGCGGCATACCGTACCCCCGAAATTTGCGCGTCCAGTGAAAAACATTGATGTCGGGTGCACGATCACACTACATTACACGCCAAAACTGCATACATCGTGTGCAAAAAGTTGTTGTTTAAGGACAATGTTTTTTGGCCAGTTAATGAGTTAATGAGTTTTAGGCATGTGATGATAACTGGTCACTATAGTTTATTAATTATTATTATTTGTCAACTATTGCTGCATCTCCGATTTGAGAAAATAATACCAGTTTTTGACCGGCTTTTCTATGGGGGCAGATCTGGTGCGCTTGAAAACTCGGCTAGGGAAGTTTACACCTTCTGATACGGGAATCACGTACTTAATTTGCGTTGAGTTGCCAAGCGCCCGCGCCAGGGTGCTGGCGTCAGGATACCTAGAATCACCAAACCCGCCGAAAACTTGTGCCCTTGGGTAGTTTGGCCTCCTAACAGGAGTATCACATCCGCTCGACCGAGAACTGCCTGGCGCCCTAGCAATGATGCCCAGGATCGCCGAATCCGCCGGGCCGTGTTCCGAGGCTCCTAAACACGAAATATCAACATCGCATCAACCTTAAGCTGCCTCGTGCCTGCGGCAAAAAAACCAAGAACACAGAATCACAAATAAGAACTTGTATACGATTTAAGATCCTGCATTACGGATGTGGACCCCATTTCTTGACGTTTCTGCGAATGAGACACAGCTTGACGTGCTTTGTCCTGCCTAACCCCAAAAGCGCGCAGTTGCTTCCCACCGCCCCTCGCCCGATGGCTGTCACAGCCCTCATTATCAGAGCGATAAATTGGCAACTGGCGTTAAAAGCACAGGGCGGGTACGCGCAGCGTAAATGTACACGATTGCGCAAATGAATGCCACGCTTCTGTCATCATCAAAAGTCATCAAACCTTATGGGCCAAGCTTCACTAAGAAATTGTTTGACTAACTATGAAATGCATCAATATGGCACTATTCACCCTTTACTGCCCTGCCCCAATCTTCCGAAAACAGGCCAGTTTGTGACCGATTTTTTCTGCGTTGGCAGAATTGGCTGAAAATTTGTCTCCTGGGGTAGTTTGACTGCCTGAACATGAATATTACATGCGCTAAACACGAAACTTCCTGGCGCCTGTGCCGCAATCGCCGACGCCAAAACACCTTGAATCACCAATCGCTAAAAACTCGTTCTCAGGGGTACTCTGATCTCTTGAACACGAATATCATATACGCTCACCCTGAAACCTCCTGGCCTCCCACTCTTGCAGGCGCTGAGCGCAAAACAAATACCAAATATTGCACCGCGGGCCGCTGTGGCGCGGCGTTAGGTTTCGGGGTATGCGAATGTCATATTCGCATTCAGGAGATCAAAATACCCTAGGAGACGAGTTCCCAGCCAATGCTGCCAACGCAGAAAAAAGTCGATCAGAAACTGGCTCAATTGTGGATGGTTAGGGCAGTAAAGCGTAATTAATGCCTCATATACTTATTAGCTTTGATTTTTACAAGGTTTTCATTATTCATACACCTTTTACTTCTTTTAACATCGAATTTGCAGAGCAAGTGCCATTTTTTTCTCTCATAACATCCTGCTTTCGTAAGTCGGGGTACCGTCGCAAAAGTTTGTCGCTGAGTACGATGCTTCCCGGATACGCCCGAACGTCGGGCGATTTCCCACTATCGATTCCTTCCAAGCAAGTTTGAGGTACACACCAAAAGTCTTTTCCCGGCACATCTGTATTCAGCGCTCTTTGCGTGTCGAGTCAGGACTGTGACGACTCGTGTTTAGGAAGCCAGTCTATCCCTGAGCACAAGTTTTCGGCGGGTTTGATGATCGTGGGTATCCAGGCAATTCTAGGTTGAGCGATGTGAAATTCGTGTTTAGGAGGTCCAACAACCCCGAGGCTTTCAGCGGATTCGGCGATCCTGGGCATCATTGCTAGGGCGTCAGGCAGTTCCAGGTCGAGCGGATGTGATGCTCCTGGAGGCCAAACTACCCAAGGGCACAAGTTTTCGGCGGGTTTGGTGATTCTAGGTATCCTGACGCCAGCACCCTGGCGCGGGCGCTTGGCAACTCAACGCAAATTAATGTGATTCCCGTATTCAGAAGGTTAAACTTCCCTAGAACCGAGTTTTCAGCCAAAT